GCACACACACACAGTCTTAGGATAGCTCATTCACTCCCTTCACTTCCCGCTGGTTCCAAAATTCGAATGCACTCGGAGTCTTGGACTCATTTCATGGTCAGGAGCGTGATTTTGATAAGTAAAGAAGCAGACTGTCACCTCTTGCGTGTTTCCCTCTCTCACTCTCATTCTCTCACTGACCCTCTCTCTCCCTGTCCATCTTGCACCCACTTTTTCACTCGCCCAACAACAGATTTTCACTATCACCGTCTGAGATGTTTCTGGCCGTGTTGAGGGTAGATGCAAATAATAAGGTAATAAAATAATAATAATAATAATAATAATAATAATAATAATAATAATAATAATAATAATAATAATAATGATAGTGACGAGCACTCACCGTCTTCACGACTTCTCCTCTCTCACACGTACTATCCTCGGCACTCTCTCCGCAACTCTCCCACTCTATCTTCCTTTCTCTCTCTCTCACTGCCTCTCCCACTTGCTTGTTAACTCTCTTCTCTCTCACTCTCTTCACTCTCTCTTTCGCTCTGACTCCCGTGGCCACACGGTCGTCCCCCCCCCTTTTCTCTCACTCACACTCTCTCATGAATATCCACCATAGGTTCCTCCTCCATGTTGATCGATGCAGGCAGAGAGTTCTCATGTCGGCCATGACCGCCTCAAGAGCAGCCACGGGATGCCATAGTTCAGCTCGCTCTATCACTGCACACACCTCGCCACGTCCATCCCTTCCTTCAATCGGATCATGTGCTAGCGCGCTGCGCACGCCTGGCACGCAGTCCCATCGGCCCTGTCAACAACATGTCCGCCGTACACCCCTCGCACGGGCGGAGTAACCGCCGGAGCGCCGATTCTGCCCGTGCTTGCTGTCGCGGGTACACCTTGCTCGCGCTTAGTTTTTTTCTTTTTTCCTTTTGGTTTCTCCACCGCCCCAGCTATATCCACGTAGAGTCAGCCTCGTAGGCTCAACACCACTGGTTCTATTCGAGGCAAAACGGTGACTGAGTCTTCAGGCCCCGACTAGGCAATAAACAGGCCCGGGGCAGTAGACCCAGTACTTTGTCTGTGGTGGTGGCAAGGGCCCTTAGACCAGGGGTCATTTCGCGATAGGGCCAGCACAAGTTAGCCCTATCTGAAGGCTCGATACCCGCTGCAAACCAGAAACAACACAGCAGCGTGCATCATACCGTTCCCGAACCAGGGAATTACCAGTCTAAGCTGTAGCAGGCTGTGTTGTCACCGTACAGCACACTGTATCGTTACCRCACCAATGCAGAGCCTGAAGTAAYCGCTTGGAGATGYTGTAACCCATATCGTGCCGATGCCGAYCYWARAYCGTGCCTGAAAACGATGCAGTGGCGTGTACCACGCYAATGCCGAACCAATACCGTTCCTGAAACATGTCGAACACGGCAAGAYGMAGCGGCGCGRCAATAGTACYAATCCTGAAGTAAACCGCCGCAATGATCCCGGACCTGAAAATGAGTCACTGCAGAGGTTCCGAACTTGAAATAAATCTCCGTGAGGGCGTCGAACCTGAAACGAAACACCGCGATGCCACCGAACCTGACCGGACCCGAAATCTAGTACCGGGCTGCTGCGCCACGCGGATGCCGAACCCGTACAACTATGCCATGATAATTKCGTACCTATCCCAAACCTGATATAGAATGCCGCAACATTTCCGGACCTGAAAACAAACTGCCGCCAGGGTTCCAAACCTGGAATAACTGTCGTAGCGGCCCCGGTCCTGAGAATAAATCACCGCAGTTGTCCCAAACCTGAAAATAAGTTACCGTAGTAAAACAACTGTCACCGGGCCCATACCGAACCTGAAGTGCGTCAGACACCGTAGGACGTAACCATTCCGTAACAACCCCCGTATCCGTACCGAACCAAACACCATACTGTCGACCCAAGGTAGCACCGCTCTCAGAACATCCCAACTGCGGTAATGTTAGTAATCAAGCAAACCAGGGAAAGCGACGCAGGGAACCTCGACCATGGGCAGTAGTGAAAACTTGTTAAAATCCGGGGAAATGATCAATCCGGGGTCAGAGCTGATGACGGGTAATCAAGGCGAAATTAGGCCAATCTCCCAATAGTCATGGGTTTCCGTCCCTTTCATCGTTTTTAATCATTCTTCCCTTTCCTTAATTCTGTTGTCGGAAATAGTAAATTAACCGTAAGTTCCATAAAATTCAATTCCGAGAAAGTTTAAATAAATGGCTGAATTCCTTTTGTTTCTTTTCTCTTTTACCATTTTTAATCTTTTTCTATGTTTTTAATTTAATTGTCGGGCAAATAAAATAACAAGGGTATTCCCCCTAGAATTAAATGCCGTGAAAAATAAAGAAATTAAGGGATATTACGTTTTTCCCTTCTCCCCTACTGGTCTTAATCCCTCTTCCCATCTTTAATTACGGTACTAAAATAGACAAAAATTTGAGGCCCCATTTCACCCCGGTCGTATGCTGCAAAAACATTGCGGCGAGGTCAACTCCCTTGATGCCTCTCCGCGGCAGGCCAATCCGGGTCTAACCCTCTGAACGGTCGGACATGACAGTCCCTAGACATGCCGAGTGCGGCCACCCATCTCGCCATCTTTGAGGGTTACTCATAAGGTTCAGTGCGCCCAAAATCAGGGGTGCCCTGAGTTCCCCTAATTTTTTGCTGCCTGGTCATACGAGACTACCATCAAAACACGGATTTGTCCCTGAGCCGAAGTCCCAAAACTGCGGATCTCAGGCGGCGCACTGCTTGTGGCCGCCTGACACCGGTTTCCGGCAGGTGTTGCTCCCCACCAATAGATGGAGCGGCCCGCTAGACAAAGCCTCAATGCCGGTGGTTCTCTTACCACCACCAGGATAGAGGCCTTGCACAAGGGCCTTTAAAAAAAAAAATAAAAAAAAAAGAGACGTCTCTTACATTTTCTGAAATACAACATATGCTCTGTATTCGAATAGTGGGCATGTATCTTATTTGAATTTTGTGAATTTTCCTATTTTACACCTCTATTTCTACGAAAAATTAACCACTGCTAATTTCTACCCCATACCCAGTTAAATGTGCTTCTTTTAAGCGAAACTTTACCTCCTTTGTATTCGAATAGAAAGTTTGCGTGCCAGGGCCTGAGCGCTGCACAGGGCCTGAGTTTGCCCATCACACCCTGCACTGCGATTGCCATCTGTCTTTCTGCAGAAAAGGGGTTGTACGGGCATAGTACAGGGCAGGTGAAATAGAACAGGGGTGTAGCACATGCATACTACCTTGCTACCTCTACTGCGCTTACAATCAGATAGAATGCATCATAGCGGTTAGGTTCTTTGCTATTTGTAGGGTCAGCCTTGGTCTTAACATTTTGCAGTTCCACAAGACGAAGAAGAAAGGCAGGCTATGGCCGCAACAGTTTTTACAGGGAGCAGTGAAGAGAACATCCTGATGTGCATGCAATTCGGTAGGAGGATGAGAGTTTTTGTAAATGTTATTCTGATTGACTCTCCCTAGTACCTTAAAGTTTGACATCTAGCTTTTGGTGCACTACAGTGACTGCACACATTGCCAATGGAAATGTGCTTTTTCTTTGGGGGGAAATTTGACTCAGGCAATGTTTTTCGTCTTGTCTCTGTCTTATATATAGGCATATGCACGCATCCCTGTGAGAAATCAAGTGAAGACAGCTTCCCATACTTCTGCAAGATGCCATTTTTGTCCTGATGCTTGTGAGGGCACAGTCACCAGTTCAGAGCAGCGCCTAGGATAGGCCCATGCGTCAGCCTCAGGCTGCGGTTCCATTCTTCATTCAGAAGATCTCCTGATGACCGGTGACCGAGCTGTTCAGCCTGTTCCTTGTACCAGCACAAAGGATATGCCTCCTGCGATGCCACAGTACCGCCACTGTCATTAGACTGGTTAGGCTGTTTTTTTTTTTTCTTTCCTTTTTGCAAGTTTTTGGGCCATTTCTCAATTAAATGGCATTTTTTATGCGTGTTATCGGAGAACAGGTTAGGCTTGTATTTTTACCACACTGTCGGTGCAGAATCGAAACTGGTTTTGAGTTCGTGAATGTCCACAAAACTCTTTCAAGCTGACTTTAGTCATGTAGAGCTGGGTTCAGGGAAACTCCCCTCTTTCAAAACTGCCATCCTCTGCATTCCTCCTTCAGTGGACCTTCACCCAATCAGGTGGGAAAGGCAACCAGTAAGTTCATGAGAGAGTCAAACACACAGGGACAGAGAGGAAGGGATTCATAAACGGAAAGTAGTGACAGGTAGAGAGACTCATAGAGAGGGAGAGGGTGAGGGAGGAGTAGAGATTGGAGGATTGTACGGGCAGTGGTATCCCAGCAGCCTCAGCCATGGTTTACAGGATCTCTCCAAAGCGGAAGAAGCAGGTGTATATTTACTGCTGGTTGGAGACAGCTGAGCGCATCACGGGTTATGTGGTCCTGACAGTTGTGACCCTGGAATTGGGAGCGTTCGGATCTTACATGACGGCCACAGTCATGTGGCCATGCATAGGACTTTCGCTCGTGTGCTCATTCCCCCAACTCCTAGAGCTCGTGCAACACAAGTACTTCCATCACGGTATGTCATGCGCCCAAGTAGCGAAGAGCGGGGGGGATTCCTCGAGGTTTACATATTTCCTCGTACTGAGCGCCTCTGTCCGGATATCTGCTTTCCTGTTCCAATTAGTCCTCATATGCTTGACTTATAGATCCCTTACGCACCTTTCTGTAGTGGGCATCGAAACAACCTCAAGGCGGGGTGAGGCTCGCCTCCGGGAGTTGCTCATCAAAACATTGATATTTATACTGGCTCGCTGTCTAATCACAGCGTGCCTGATATTCTTGTCTGCACTCTGTGCTTTGCCCACACATAGGAGAGTACGGCTCTCTTGCCATTGCAGGGGTACCCATTGTTGCACATGTCTCCCCAGCCGTTCGAGGTCTGATCCACGTTCATTTTCAATACTGCGACACATTCTAGAGCAGGGCGAGTTCTTGGAGAGGCTGGAGCGCAGGAGAACGAAGATGGAGATTGGATGGACGTGGTATGTGCATTGTTATCGTCATTCTGGCTTCAGCGCATTTGACGCTCAAGTGCACACACACACACACTTGTGGCCTGTCTGGTTACTGGTTTTACACTGTAAGGGAGCTGCTGGACATGGTGAGAGGGAACTTGCCTGGTCTTGCAGAGAACCATCACCAGCAGGGAGGAGGATGGGATGGGAAAATGACGAAGTCAAATCTTCACATGGCACTCCTGTCCCTTGATCAGCTATCCACACTTAATAACTGCGGAAAGGATTGCAGCTTCAGTTCCTATGCCTCAGATGAGATGCTGAGCCACATGCCAGATCTGCCCAGGACGAGTCGTTGCATGCATGATGTTGATGCTGGTAGGGACTTTGCAGAAGCTGAAGGCTATTTGGCGATGCTCCAAGTTTTCGAATGCTGTCATCCTGATGCTGAAGAGACTCGTCTGGCTGCTTCCATCTTGGCTGGTTTTGCATCTGGCCTCTCAGTCGTCCCTTGGCAACCTGATTTAAGCAACCAGGAACTGCCTGAAACACTGGAGTATAATGTAGAATCGGATGGAGACCCCATAACCGGTATGGAATCACCACGAACTGTCAGGGAGTCCATTCTGAAGATATTGTCTGACACGCATTTGGGGGTTGCGTTGTGAACCTTTTAATGAATCTGGTACTTCGTCTGTCAGCCAACGAAGTGGCTCTCCCTTTTGATACTCAATCAATCAGGGAGTCAGCTGTATCTGCAATCTCTGCCTTTGCCGAGGCGGCAAGTGACATCCATGGTACAACGAGCCATCATACGCAAGTATCGCACATTCCCCGCAGTGCCCGCACCCCAACCGATTACTGTGAGCGTATAATGCTCCAAAGTGAAATTCAGTCCATGTGCAGTTCAATAATTTGTACTGTGGTGAACCGTCCCGAGCAGAGTGCAATAGTCACTGTTGTGCCTAGTCATGACCCTTCTGATGTCAGTATAATGGTTTGTCCTCCATCTTCTGGTGAGATATATGATGATGGTCACGTTTTGGACAATCACCCACACCACGAGGAAAATGAAAGGGTTCACGATTATCAGTTAGAACCAAACTCCGACCAGATCACGACTGAAGATCCACCAGACCACCCCGTCTCGGCTGATGGGCTCCGTGCAGTGCATGGACGCTCTAATGCAGCTCTACCCAACACCCTGACACGAGACACCCATCCGGAGGAGTCCACACAGTCGGTGGATGTTTCTCGTGAGATTGGCGTCGATGATCACCTTCTGGACAATCTGCCACGACCGCAGGAAAGAGAAACGGTTGCTGATTATCTGTCCTATCAAGACGTCTATCATGCGGGCTCCGTGGCCACATTCAGCAATGCATTCACAACACTTCACCCGGTTGGCTGGCTTGTGCAGGGGGCTGTTCCGGATTTTTCGAGCTGCCGGTTGGTGAAAGCAGTCAAAGCGGTCTTCAAGCAGGAGATAGTTCTCAACGTAGTGCTCAGGTGTGCGGCGGGGGATTTTCGGTTGTCAGATATTGCTGTATCTGATGCAGTGAGAGCTCTTGCCTCGGTTTGGGTCCCTAGACCAATCCATTGGCATCGCTTAAATAGGGGCTTCATGGGTGACTCAGCATCAGGTTCTCTTGCTCCTCTCAACATGATCAGCGATCTTCCAAACAGAGAGGAGATCCAACAGCGCCTCAGAGACCTGGTTTCTCGCTGCTGTGATAGGGGGCCATTATTGCTCTCTGCCTTCTCAAAGCTCCACTTGGCAAAGATCTGTATTGCTCAAGGAATCAGGGATACGGATCCTAAAGCTGCCGAGGTTCTCCTGCAGTGCCTTTCCTACTGGCGACGAGCTGTGGGCCCTAGGGAGCTTGATTGGTTTGCTTGTGAGGCAATCGAAACACTGCGTGGTCTGCTTGCGAGTTCCAACTGCCGAGACTTAATCACAGCGCAAGTCTGGGCATCACCAGGAGGCACCGAATGCCTACGATTGATGCTCACTGGTGACATCAACTGCATCCGTTCCGCGCGGTTCTTTGCTCGAGCAACCAGCTTCGATAGCCACGTGCTCAGGCACACAAAAGAGGACCAGGATGGCAAACACTCATCGTCCGAACACACAGCACGCGTGAGCCGATGCATGGCATCAGCAACAGGGCTTCTCTCTGACTTACTGCGAAGCGAGTCACCGGCAAGGCCACACTTGCCACGTCCATGGAGCGACCTCACGTCCATCCTGAAGTCCTTAGGGTAGGTTGTGAAGACTCAACTGAACCACCACAGGCGTCGAAGGAGGAAGGCATATGGCTTGTCCGTGAGCGCTAACACTTCTTGGACGAAAGATCAGGGCAACCACCTGATGGACTTAGAGCAATCAGTAGACTCCTTGGTAACCGCAAGGAATGTCACTCTGATAATCACTCTACTGTTTAACAATCGTCAGGACTTATTTCGGGGCACTGAAAATCTTGAAGTTACACTGCCTTTACTGGTGGAGCTGCTAGGAATCTGTGGTCCATGTCATGCATTGTCGACATGCCTAGATCTTGACACGTTGGAGGCAAGACTCAAGGAGGAGATTCTCACCGGTGCAGCTTGGATGGTGCTCACAATTCTTGAATGGAGTAATGATGTAGAAAGGCCGCTGTCCAGGATTATCCTCAGGGGAGAGTTTATAAGCAACCTGTGGGAGACGATAAACGAGTACTTGCAGGAGTCATTATTGCCTCAAGACCATCGTGGGCTCATGATACAGATCCGAGAAGCGTTTTGCTGAGCTACTTGACACGACTATTTGAGCAAATCATGGCGGGAGCTTGGCGCAGTGGACTTTTTTTCTGTTTCTGCGTGGTAAGCAGTACATGTGGATGTGTGGTTTTCTTGATCTGCTGTGGAGGATCGCCTTGCTACCTAGTCAGATGCAGCGATTTTCGTTAACTTGTAGCTCTCATTGCGGTGAAAAATTCTGGTTGCTTTTGTGGTTTGTTGAAAAATAAGATTCGGTTTCTTCTTGTTGTGGCTAATTAATTTGAAAGTCGTTGCAGAGAGGTCGTGGGAGGCAGCTACGTCTGTAGCAGCTACGTCTGTAGTAAAAGTACGGTCTTCACACTTTTGTGTTTCCACGAAACGATGCAGGTGGTGTGCTGGGTTTATGAGGGTTAGGCAGAGGCGGGTCGCAGTTGGGGGGTAGGAAAGGAGAAGGGGAGGCAGCATGCGTCCCGGGGCGAGGTAGGCCCTTGATAGGAGGAGAAGTAGAACAGGGTCTGGATACTCTACAGGAGTGGCGGTCTGTGTTGGGGGGGGAAGGGTTGGAGTATCGTGGACAATATGCTGTGCCACGTGAGAAGTGGAGCGCCATTTCTATGAGGGGTCATGCAGGCTGTGGCTGTCTGATTTATTTCTTGATTGTGTGGATTTGTTCGTCTTTTACCTATTCTGGCATGAGTTGTTGAGGAGAGTGATGCTACGGGGATGAAGGTTGGCAAGGGCTCAAGGGAGGTCGGCTCATCATGGGCTAGGAAAGAGGGAGTGGGAGATTCGATGTATCAATGAGGGGGACACCTTCTATATGAGGAGAGGTATGAAGAGGTAAGAGTGGGCTCTGCCGTAGGCGGCAAGGGTTGGAGTACTGTGGGCTTGGAATTCCCAGTTGGATCAGATTGCGTCAATTGCGCAATTATTATTATTATTATTATTATTATTTTAATTATTGTTTTTTTTCCGCAATTTTTGTTTTTTGTTTTTTTTTCCTTCTATATTCTTCTCTCAACTTCTGTTTCTTTACCTTCCACTACCTACTCCTAAGACTGTCTAGAGGGGACCCCTGCAAGCATAGTTTCCTCTCTCTGTGAAGGGGAGATTTCATGTTGCCCCTTGCCCCTAATGGTTAGGGTATAGGGTTGGGGCCGCCAGTGGGGGTCTGGCTAACACAAAGACCAAGACCTGCCAGTAGCTGTGCCTCCCTTTCTCATCGTCCCCCACCCTTCATCCAGTAGCAGCAGAGGCTATGGTCAACACTCTCAAGCTGGTCATTCTCTAAATGCGGAAGGGAAAAAGAAAAAAAATAATAATAAAAAAAGAGGGAGCTCAGGGGAAAAAAAAGAAAGGGACCTGGGTCCACAAAAGACAGAAAAATATTATGCGCGGCCAGCGGGGATCGCATGGGGGCAGCTGCGGATAAGCTGCGCTTGGCCAGATCTTGCTGTTGGGTATGGTGGAGGCAGAGAGGTGATAGAGTGTGTGGGCGCTCAGGTGGAGGTCGCTTCGAGGAGGCACAACCATGCACCTGCCATAAGCCTAATCTTGGCCGACGAAAGTTGGTAATCCTCGATCAATCCCCTGGTTTCCGGGGCAATCAATGCTGGCAGGGGGAGGTCTTCTTAACTTTTTTTTCAAGAAAAGGTGAGAGGGAGAAGTAGACAGTTGGATTTTAAGCGTCCTACGAGTGAGGGGGCTAGCTCGTAGGATGGAACTAGGGTACAGCAGCAGCGGAGATGGTGGCTCTGCTGCAGTAAATCTTGCCGGAGTGAACAAAAGAGGATTGATGGGATGTTTCTGAGTCGTTTCTGAACTTTGCCTAAATTTCTGTCATGGCCTCGGTTTCTCAAACTTTTATACTTTTATGTACATTTTCATATGGGACGCTGGGCCTGGTTCCCAGCACGTGCTGCTCCCCACGAATAGATTGGAGCCTTGTCCCCTTATAAAAAAAAAATTAAAAAAAATAATAATAATAGAAGAGAGATGTGGGGTCTGTCAACGAGCAGGATCTGCGCATCGTACATATCAGTATTACTACCTGATCAGAAGCTTTGCCTGCTGATTATAACATTTTCATATGGTACGCTGGGCCCAGTTCCCAGCACGTGCTGCTCCCCACGAATAGATTGGAGCCTTGTCCCCTTATAAAAAAAAAATTAAAAAAAAAAATAATAATAAAAAGAAGAAGAAGAAGAAGAAGAAGAAGAAGAAGAAGAGAGATGTGGGGTCGGTCAACGAGCAGGATCTGCGCATCGTACATATCAGTATTACTACCTGATCAGAAGCTTTGCCCGCTGATTATAGATACGGAGAACGATTGCGTTGCTGGAGTGGATGGATGAAGAGCTGGAGATGAAGGATGAGAGTGCATCGACAAACGTCTACTTCCGGGCGACTGATGACGGACTTCATGCCATGATCAGTATCGTGCACTGTCGCTGACGACGGACTTCAGGCTGTGAGCGGGTTGTCCACTGTTGCCTTTGCTCCTTCCTCGGGCGGGGTGTTGCTTAAGATTTTCTGATCTCTGGTGATCTGACAAATCATCGACTGTGTTCCCCGAAATTGCAAGTGTTGCGTTCTGTGTGGTGAGTGTAGATGATTGTGTTCTCCGACATTTTAATCGCTAGGCTAAGCCTTGCTAGTATAGAGTATTACCGGTCACTGTTGTATGGGACATGTAATTGGTACTTTGTGGACTGGTAATTCGATAAGGAGGGTTGTGAACTTGTGGTACTTTCTAATTAGGGTTGGTTTAAGATGATTGCCGAAGTTGTTGTTGGTTTTGCCGGTGGGTATGTAGACCAGTAAATAAGTTTCGCCGACATTCACGGCGCTGACTATCACTTTCATAGCTATCGGAGGTTGCAAGGAAAAGCTATGCTGAAAGTCCACCCAGTCAGGGTTAACAGGGCATGGATGCTTGTTTCTATGCTGGTGGCTAGCTTCTGGGAAGATCTAGGCCAGCAAATAAGTTTGGGCGATGTTTATGGTGCTGACCATTACTTTCATAGCTAGCTAGTTTCTCAAGACTAAGGAGTAGTCATCATGTCATTGTCACTGATGCAAGCGGTTGCACAGGAGAGTTTCTGTTGCAGACGGTGTGCAGGGGCATTCATGTTATTCCTCTACAGTAACTGTAGTTCTTTGGGAGTTGAAGAGCTATATTGAATCTCAGTTGGGGTTGCGGATTCAAGGTGTTTAGGGTATAGAATCGTAACTTTGTGAATTAGGAATTTTTCCGTGGGTAATTCGATGAGACCATGGACTATCCGTGGGTAAGTCTATGACACCATTGGGGATTTTGTCTGTCTTTTTGGTTGGTAGTGGGTAAGTAGGATTAAACCATTGAATATGTTGTTTACGTGTTTCTGATTGGTAGTTTGTTATCTAGCTTGGATTCCGTGAGATTAGGGTTGTTTGATGATGGTGGTTTGGATAAGGGGTAGAGTAGGATTTGACTTTTGTTAAATTGGGGACCGCAAAATTTCATTTTGTTTTAGGGTTGGGATTGGGATCAACGGTTTCGTAACCTTGTGGGGCTGTGGTGGGGATAGGTTTGGTTGGGAGTGGCTTGCTTAGCCCGTTTGACCGCAGCAAATGATGTAAGGGACACCGTTCCTGGATATATGAATATGGAATTTTTCTGGGGAAAAAAAAAAAACAGGGGAAAGAAAGAAACGACAAGAATCTGGCGGTGTATTTTCATATGGTCTAGAGGAAGATTTATTCTGATTTTGCACATTTGGTGAGTAGTGGATCAAGGCCCAAGGGTGGCTAATATGTTTTGCGGTCGCTGGGTGGAGAGCCCTGTCATCAATTTGTCTGTCGTCTGATTCAGGTGCTAGGAAGAGCTCGAGAAAAAGAAAAGTGTAGACTACCATGTAAATTTTGAGGCAATGTAATAGTTGACTGATTTAAATAAAGCTTTATTTTTCCGCCTCCAAACAAAAAGAGGCTCCCACGCAAAAGTTGTTTGTATTACACAGCGCTGCGTTAGCGCACCCCTGCAATTTTTTAGGGCAGGCACCGAGTGCATCACGAGGAGGGCAACGCCTCCAGTGCCTGCTGATACAATTGTTGCATGGTGCCTTTGGTCCCTCCTCCTTGCCACGTGGCAAGCATGGCCAGGATTTGGACGCCGCCCCACATGAGCACACGGAAACTGGTCAGGGTTTTTACCCCTGGTCCCTTGATACGGAGCCCTGGATGGAGATGGACAGTTGAGGTGGACAGTTGAGAAGTGTGTGTTCTAGTCGACGTACAGCTTCCGAGTGCGTTTCACTGTGGTGGAGTGGACGTTGGCCATTTTACCCTTTCATGCCGGCCAGGGGAGAGATGTCCAAGCTGGAGTAAAGTGGGTTTCCTGCCGAACAGGAGAGAGATGTCCAAGCTGGAGTGAAGTGCACGAAGTGGGAAGGAGAGTGGTTGTGAGCTATGAGGAAAGATTAGGACTCTACCTCGTCGTGAAGGGTGGGTGCCTCGATCCGCATGGAGCAGACTCTGAGGAACTTTTGCGTTTTCTTTTTGATGGTCCCTGATTCGGAGCATCGGGTTGCTAAATGGCGTGGG